CAGAGGAGAGTGAGGGGCAGAGGAGAGTGAGGGGCAGAGGAGAGTGAGGGGCAGAGGAGGGTTAGGGGCAGAGGAGAGTGAGGGGCAGAGGAGAGGAGGGGCAGAGGTGAGGGAAGGGCAGAGCTGAGTGAAGGTTCAGGTGTCTGAAGGAAGGCACAGGTCAGTGAAGGGCGCAGGTGAGTGAAGGGCACAGGTGAGTGAAGGGCACAGGTGAGTGAAGGGCACAGGTGTGTGAAGGGCGCAGGTGAGTGAAGCAAGCTCCCTGCTCAGGCAGGAAGAGCAGCTCCGTCAGACTGGAGGGGCAGTCCTGGGTTATCCTCGTTGGGAACTGAAGTCAGAGAAGCAGCCACGTGGGGTCTCCTGAGACTCCCAGGCAGGCCTGGATGCCAGCGAGATCGTTACACCCAGAAGAGACCTCTCTGTCCCTAGTGTGCATGAGTACGACCCTCTGTCCCCAACTGGGCACAGGCGACAAAAGAGGAATTCAAACCAGGGTCAGGGGTCACCCCTCACCCACAGAACACAGCTACAATTCAGCGGAGGGCTCCAGTCCTCCTTCGGTGCCCCCTGAGAACGCGAGGCCCAGTGCGGCAGATGCCAAGTCAGGGCCTCCGAGAATCCCTGGGAGCCACCGGCCGCCGGGATAGCGCAGGCGGGCGGCGCCGCGCACTCCGGCCGGGCGGAGCGTCACTTCCCCAGGCGCCGGCTGTTTACATGCAGATCTCGGCGAGGAGAGCCCAGGCAGGGCGCCCCAAGCCCCAGGACTCCTGCCCCGCTTTCGTTTCCCCGCCGCACTTGGCTTTCGTTTCCCCGCGGCTCCTCCCGCCTCCCGCCTGCACCGAGTTTCGTTTCCGCGCTGCGGCCGAGGGCGGGGTCGCCGCGGCGCCCATGGCCTTCGCCGGCCTGCTCGCGCCACTCGTGCTCCGGCGTCTCTTGAGGCCGCTGCGCGGGCGGCGCGGGGTCTGCGCTCGGGCCATGGCCCAGCCGCACTGCTTCGCGCTGGAGCTCCCTGACTGCACTCTGGCCCACTTCGCTCTGGGCGCGGACGCCCCCCGCGACGCTGGTGTCCCGGACGCGCGCCCCGATCCCCGCCGGGAGGCGCTGCTGGGGCCCTCGGGACGCAGCTACTCCCTGTGCGCGGCTCTGGCCCCAGACTTCGGCTGCCGGTCCCGGGTCCGCGCGGCGCGGCTGCACCAGCGCCTGCTGCACGAGCTGCGCCGCGGCGTCTTCCAGCGATGCCAGCTGCGCAGTCTGCTGTGTTACTGCTCGGACGTGCAGGCCGGCGGCGCGCAGCACGGCCTCCTGCTGCAGGACCCCCTCGATGGCCCCGACACCTGGCGCGCCCTGATTCAGCTGCTGGACTCGTGCCAGGAAGCCCCGCGCCCGCTCCTGGGCAAGTTCGAGGCCGACCCGCACGGCCAACTGTGGCATCGCCTCTGGGCAGTGCAAGAAGGCGTGCAGCTGCCGATGGGGAGCTCGCGGGTTGTGCCGGCCCCGGAGCCTCCGCTGCACCCGGTGGTGCCCGACCTGCCCAGCTCCGTGGTCTTCCCCGACCGCGAAGCCGCCCGGGCCGTTTTGGAGGAGGTAAGAATTCCGTCCCCAGAGCTCATCCTGGTATCTGGACTTTCCAGACCAGAGTACTGCACCATGTAGTTGGCCTCTAAAAGCCTCTCTTGCCTGGGTGGTTTCTTTATTCGCCTTCCCACATCAGTTAGGAAAGATGTACTACACGGCAGGCCCTTTAGTAGGCACTGTGGCTCTTTCAAGATTCTCATTTGCAAGGATCTTCCTAGGGGATGCATCCCTGCACCGTGCGGGGAATGCTGGCTGTGCTGCAAATGCTTGCTTAGAGTTCTAGAGAAGGCCGTTGTGTAGTGCAGGAAAACAGTGTCATCTAGGAAGTAATTCAAGCATCTTGGGGTGTAGAGGAAAGTGCAGGAGTTTGGGGGTTCAAGAAATTTAGACTTAAGCGGTGCCCACCTCCTTACTGGCTGTGGATTGTGTGCAACTTACTCAGCTAGGCTACCCCCCCCCCATTCTCTCCTCTTTCACCTGTAAAACTCCTGTCTTGCAGTGTTGCTGAGATGATTAAGGAAACATCTGACTCATAGCAGGTGTTTAAGATGGAAAGTTCTTTCTGACCACTAGCTAAAGTAAACAGATGGGGCCTCCCAAGGATGCCCTGTGGGTGTCAGAAATATTTTAGCCATTTCTGAGCCAGCGTTACCGAGAATTTAAGAATGAAGAATCAACCACAGGGGTGGAATTCAAACTCTGGCATCTATTGTGTTATTTCCAGCAAGTTTCTTCAACATTCTTTTCCTCAATTTTCCCTAATCCATAAGGTAGGAATAACAGTAATGTCACCTTCCCAAAGTTACCGTGGAGATTGGCCAACTTAGTAAAACACTTAGAAGATTGCCTTGCTCAGAATAAGCATATAGATAATTAATAAACCAGTGTGGGGGCCTCACTGTGGAGGTGCTGTGAGCAGGCAGTGAGGTCATGTACTCTGAGGAGCTTTGAATTCCCAGAAGTTCTCTCTGCTGGCTTTGTGTTGGTGCAGGGTTGGCACTTTTCTCAGCCCTCTGTATGGTAAGGAGACAGTGAGATGGAGGTGCAGACTGCTCTCTTTAGGGCCAGCCATGTACCTGATTTCCCACAGTTAGAACAGACTGTTCCAGGCAGACCTGCAGCTCACGGTCTCTGCTGGCACAGCCCCTCATTCTGTGCCTTGCCTGATCTCCTGCGGTGGCAGCTGCTCACCAAGGCTGCAGGCTGAGTGATCCAGCTACTCAGGATAAAGTAAAGGAATCCAATGTGTCCCAACTTCAAAATACTCTGAATTGCACAAGGCCAGCACAGTGCTCAGTGGAACTTAGTCCTTATTAGCATTTGGCAATCTTGTCCTCAGCCATTTAGATGTGGTTTCTGGCAAAGCCCCTGGGCTTCAGTGCTGACCAGCAGATGTTGTTTTGCAGTGCACACCCTTTATTCCTGAAGCCCGGGAGGTGCTTGACCTGGTCGACCAGTGTCCCAAGCAGGTCCAGAAAGGAAAGTTCCAGGTTATTGCCATCGAAGGACTGGATGCCACTGGTAAGAGAATATTACTTTATAGTTATAGGCAGTGACATCAACGGATCTGTCACAAACACAGAAACTGTCCCTGCAAAACCAGACCTTATAGTCTGATGTGTGCCTCCACTGTGCGTCAGGGTCCCTGCCAGATAGGCCCTGGGATGTAAAGATGAGCAGGGGCCACAGTGGGAAGACCTACGCCGTGTGGGAGAGCCCAGCCCTGTGCTCTGGGGAACACAGGAGGGTGCAGAGCCTGTCTTCTGAGGGGTCATGGGAAGTGGGGGGTGTGGTCAGGGGAGATGCCGGGGTTGGGTTTAAGTATAGGGGGGAGTTGGTCAGGTGAGGAAAGTAGGCAAGGACCTCCAGGCAGAAGAAATAGTGCAGGCAAAGATATGGACTGGTGAGGAGTGTCCTGGAACTGTGGGCAGTTCAGAGGTTCTTTTGGGGACAGAATGTGAATGAACTGGGAAATGGAGGGGGGAATTTTTTGAGCTGTCAAATAGATGTCAGAATACAATGGTTGTGCCCACACACAGACCAGACCAAAGCACAAATGGAGGAGAAGGGCTGCTCCCCCACGCTCAGACCAAAACACAAATGCAGAGGAAGGGCTGCTCCAAGGTCTCAGGACCCAGGGAAAAGGGGGTGATCTGGGAGGGCACTGACGGCTGTGTGGGTCAGCACAAGGAGTTTCTCTTTCCTATGTCAATTTGAGGAACGCAGACGTTTATTTTTGATAATGTGAAAGGTCATTTCCACATTGTGGCCCTTTGGGTACACAACGAGGCAGACTGGGGCACAGGCTATGGCTCCTGTCCACTGTCCTGGGGCCATTTGAACCATCAGGCCATGCTTGGCTTTCCTGGAGACCAGCTGTTACCCCTGGCACATACCAGCTGGGCTGCAGCCCAGTTGTAGTTATGTCGGTTTTCTCAAACACAGAGGGGATTTTAACAGCATCAGTCCCCCATCCAGTGTGGGTTTTTTTTTTTTTATCATTTATTTTATACTAGAGCTAATTTAGATTTGGTGTAATTACAAGATTTATAAAAATTTAGCCTCATGACAGGCATCAAAATTTGCATGGAGATTGCATGGGTGGCAAACAGAACATGAGTTAGTGATTCCGTCTGCCGTGTTGGTGCAGCTGTGGTCCAGCCTGTCAGCAGGGTGAGTTTGGGTAAATTTGTTAACTTCCCCGGTGCTCAATTTCTTCACCTGTGAGATGATTAAATATTAACTAACTTGCAGGGTCATTGGGAGAACTAGAAGCAGATTATGTGTGACATGCGTGTTTCATAGCAGATACTGAGAAGTGGTGGCTACTGTCAGGATCCATCTTGATTACCCAAGGAAAAAGATAAGGAAAGTAAACATTTGATAATGAAGTGTATGATAGAGAAAAATAAATTAAGTCTAAATGGACAGCAGGAGCTCAGAGAAGCTGGGGGAAATTACCCCTGTGTAGATCGTATTCTCATCACCCATCCTGTTCTGGCCAGCAGCTAAGAAGTAGGAGACAGGTCCTGAGAAGTCCCAAGTGCATCCCTGAGGCTGTGCAAAGGCAGGCCAGACCAGGAGGCATAAGGCAGCCACAGCTCTAAAGAGGACCTGGAACCCTAAAGGCACATACCGGACCTCTAAAGGGCAGATCCAAAGGGGTGAGAGCCGGCGGGAGTGGGAGAACCAGGCTGGGCGGCCCAGGAACGTGGTAAACACTAGTTCAGGCTGAAAATAAAAAGCAGCACAGTAAAGGGGCTCTGGTATCAGCCCCCCAATACCAGAGGTGATCATTAAGTAGAATTTTGCCTCCGTGTATTCTAATACCAAACAGAGGATACCTAGGTTCCTATAGGTCTGCGGCTTATGTACTCAACTCCTTTTATTTACAAGTTGAAAGAATTTCCTTGTTCTTTCTATGTTAATATTAACTTTTGGGTGTCACGTGGTGGCTGTGGCTAAGATGGGCTATATTTTGTGTCTGACCCGCAGGTAAAACCACAGTAACTCAGTCGGTTTCAGATTCACTCAAGGCTGTCCTCTTAAAGTCACCACCCTCTTGCATTAGCCAGTGGAGGAAAATCTTTGATGCAGAACCAACTATCATTAGAAGAGCTTTTTACTCTTTGGGGAATTATATTGTGGCTTCTGAAATAGCTAAAGAATCTGCCAAATCTCCTGTGATTATAGACAGGTATGTATGATAATGCCTGAGATTAGGCATTTTCTCCCTATCCTATACGTACATACACATGCAAGTAGACAACTGTGTTCTTCAAACTGTATCATGTCTGTGATTTATTAATCACCCACACCAGTAATGCATTGATAAATGCATTATTACATTATGCTGATACCTGGAATAATAACTTGGGTACGTGGATATTAAATGTTACCCCCAGTTTACAAAGAAGACACATCGGTCTCAGGTTAAGAAACTTGCCACAGCGACTGAGCTGGACACAGCATATTGAGATGCTAATCAGTCTCTTCTTCACAAATCTATCCTTTCAGTGGTTTATTTGTTCACTGACTTATTTAACACCTACTTATTGGGCACCTACTGTGTGCTAAAGCCCGTTCCTAACTCAGTGGCTTCAGTGGTGAGTAAATTAGATAGTTTTCTTTTTTCGTGGAGCAAGCATAGAGTTGCAGAAAAGATAATAATCAGGTCAGCAAACACACAAGATCGTAAATGCTAAAAGGGCAAAGTAATGGGCCCACTGGACATGACATGGGAAGGTGGTCTGAGAGGGCGCTGCTAATCTGAACCCTGGTCAAAGACAGCTGGTAAGAACATTCCAGAGTAATAGGAAGCACTATGAGAGAGGAAACTGCCCAGGCAAAGCTCAGAGAGCAGGGATCATACTCCATAACTGGAAGAGGCCTAATGTGCTGGAGACGCAGGAAGAGGAGTGCTTTCTGGATGAGCGGGGAGAGGGGCATTACTACAGAAGCTATGTATAATGTGTTGGCAAATTGCATTTGATTTGAACCGATGTGGTTTCCTTGGTGGCAGAATTGGAGAATACTAAATAGTGGAAAGAGTGTAAAATTGATGGCCAAAGGGTATGATTATTTAAAATGAGCAGCAGTGTTGTCAATGAGAGAACTCCATAGAAAACAGGTCCCTAATTCTTCCCTTGATTTTTCTTCTTTGTGTCTGTGAATTGTCTGCAATTTAGTTCTTTAAAGAGACACTGCTTCACTTTGTCAGATGAAAAGAAAAGAGCAGTTATTTGTTGTCTCGGTGGGTTTTGTTCGTGTTTAATGAAATCCATTTTAGACAACACCGTCATCTAGCTGAAAAATACAGGAGACAGAATAATTTTTGCGGGTGACTATGGTTAAGGTTGGCGACTTAATAACCCTTATTACCTTAAAAAATCTATTCTTGCTGGTGGTTTTTCTACAATAAAGAAGACTTTTAAAATTAAGATATTATCAGCCTCTGTGTTCATAGTTAAGATATTTACTTCTGTGACTGTGGAGCATGGCAGAGCACAGTGCAGACTGTAGTTTGAAAGAAAAAGAAAGCCTGAGCCCTGCCCAAATTTATTGAGCTTCAGGGACAATGTGCATCTGGTAAAGAAGGTGAGAGTGCAGGATTGTGAGGAATGCGCCGGGTAAGGAGTACCCTGGAAGGCGTCCCAGCGGAATCTACAGGAGCTGCCGCTATGGTGCCCTGAAGTGCTCAAAGCACGCTTGCAGGTGGACCAGGGCTTGGAAGGAGGGATGGGGTTAGGATTGACTAACTCCCAGCTGGATTTTTTTACTTCCATCCTTTTCAATACCGTTTGCATCATGTCATGAGAATTTGAAATGATGCATCTTTAGTTATAACCCGTGCCCGTAAGAACTAAATATTGGCTTATAATAACAGTATAATAAATTTTTAAGTACTTGTCTATGTTTGCAAAAACTATGGAAGGAAAACAAAGCTTGCATGATTTCCACTTTGCAGATGAGTAAATTGAGACTATATTGGCTTTAATGAATTTTGCCTACATCCACAAAGCAAGTGGGGCGCAGATGGCACAGAGGATCTATTATGTGGATAGCCCTGTGTGAACTTTACTGTGGAAGGTAGTTCAGTCTAAAAGGATCAAGAATTTAGGATTTTAAAGAATTGGAGCAAACATGGCAAACATAGTGTTGCAGGAAAGATAATAATCAGGTCAGCAAATACACAAGATCATAGCAGAGCATGATAATGTTAAAAGGGCAGAGTAATGGGCTAGAAAGCTCCTAGAGCCCCACTGAACACGACATGGGAAGGTGGTCTGCGAGGGCGCTGCTAATCTGAACCCTGGTCAAAGACAGCGGGTGAGAACAGAGCACCATAGTGGCTGGCGCCTATGGATTCCACTGCGACTCCTTCCAGGGTACTCCTTACCGGGCTCATTCCTCACAATCTTGCACTCTCACCTTCTTTACAAGATGCCCGTTAAAGATTTATTAAAGAATATTAGTAAACTAATATATTTATAATGACATCAGAAATATTACTGGTAGGTGATAGTTGTTTGATGTTGGGTCTGAAATTTCACATTTAGTCACTTCAAGTTGATCTATGATGAGAATAGGGTGAGAGCATAATAAACGAGGGCCACAAGTGAGACAGTTCCCATTCATTCATTCTCGCAAAGATCATTTATTGCTTACCTATGAGGTGTCAGACACACGTGCCTATAAAAAGATTTTCTCACTCAAGGAATTTATTATTTAATGGAGGGAACAGAAGCTGGGATAGTTGTAAAAATCAGCTCTAGTTTAGAAGCGGGGAGTCCTTCAATAGAGTCACTTGTAAAGGGAGTGGAGGGCATAGAGGAGGAGGCAGTGAATTATGCTTGGGGGCGTCACAGGAGCTGGAGTCTGAAGGATTTCGCTGGCTGAGAATGTCCCCCTTGCCAGAGGGAAAAGTCTGAAGACAGACTCAGGTACAGATTGGGAAGGAGTTCTGTGTCTCAGTAGAAAATGTGAACATTTTCTGGAGGCAGTGGAAAGTCACTGGGCATTTTAAAATACAGGGCTGATTTGATTTTCATTTATTTTCATTTATGCTTTCAATTTTATTTTCCTTCCCTCCAAATATTTTTTTTAAATAGCCAGCAGAAAGCGTGGCTGACTCGCCCTGGGAGGGTCTTCATGCAGCTGCGTTGGCTTGCTGGTCTCCCTGCCTGGTGCTGCTGCAGGGTGATGGGAAAGCTGTGAAGGGCACAGGAGGCTTCTAGCCCAGGCTTCCCAGAACATGCATTTCATCTGCTTGTTCAATTTGAAAACAATATAAGGACAGATGTGGGGTTGCCAGGTTTTTATTCTGCACAGATCTGGCCTTAGAGATTTCAAGGATTTCAAGGATTTCAAGACACACCTACCATCCCCTTCCACCAGCCCTTCCGAGAAGGGATAAGCCGGGTCCTTGGGTGCTCAGCTGGACAGGTGGAGTCCACTGCATTAGTGCTTTTGTTGAATTTCATTTTTTCTAATATTTTATAATTTTTTTATTTTATAAAACATTAATTTGATTTAATTTATATACTGGTATGAAAGTTTCCACTCCGCCAGCTCTGGAGTCAGCGTCCCCTAGGCTGGTATTCAGTTGCTGTGGTGACTTTCCTGCAGACAGGGACATCCTGCTCCTTCTCTTCCCAGGTACTGGCACAGTACGGCCACATATGCCATCGCCACCGAGGTAAGCGGGGGTGTGCACTACCTGCCGCCGGCCCATCACCCCGTGTACCAGTGGCCCACGGACCTGCTTAGACCCGACCTGGTCCTGCTGCTCACAGTGAACCCCGAGGAGAGAGTGCGGAGGCTGCAGGGTCGTGGCATGGAGAAGACCAGAGAGGAGGCCGAGCTGGAGGCCAACAGTGTGTTTCGTCAAAAGTAAGTGTTCTCCAAGTGAGATGAGTGGCAGAGCAGCTGTCCCTGAAGGGAGGACGGCCACTGGTGCTCGCTGTAGGAATATGAGGAAATGATATTGTTCCCAGTTTTCAAATGCAAGAAGCAATATCCTCCAAATGATGTCACGGCCACAGCACTGCCATGTTAAAGTGGTGGCTATTTGGCTGGGGGTCAGACCTGGCTATGCTAGAAGTAGCATGAACCTGGGTAAGACAAGTATCTCTGTGCCTCAGTTTCCCCTGTCATAATCTAAAGGGCCCAGAGCACTGGGCGCACCCAGTAGCTTTTACCTACTCGGTGCTTTCCATGTGGGGACACCATTCACTTACGATGCGTAGCCCTGCGCATCCCTGCGAGGAAAGCATCAGCCACGTTGCATAGTTTACGAAACACAGGCTCAAAAGAGTAAGTAAGTTGTCTAAATTTATATGCCCGTTAAGTAGTAAACTGGGGTTCAAGTTAAGATCTTTCTGATTTTAAAGACATTGTGTTTGTTTTTAATTAGAAAGTTATGAGCACAATAGCAGAAGAGGGGCTGATCAGCCTTCTTGCTTCATGGCTGGCTGTGAATTGGTTCTACAGCTCTGGTTTTAAAAACTAGAACAAATGTTTTAAGTGACCAAGCAATGCCAGCGTCATTACTGTAACATAGTGATGTTATAATAGAAATGACGTAATAACGGCTGTGTGTAACGATACTGTGTTAAGGCGTTTCCTTGTATTAACCAATTAAACCTCATTGCACACTTACATGGTATTGTTTAAGTTTTCATTTTACAGAGAAGAAAACTGAGGCAAAGAGAGGATAAGAAATTTGACAAGTTCACGTAGCTACTAAGTAGTAAAGCAGAGCAGTGGACACAAACAGTATAGCTCGAGGTCCCCTATTAACCACAGTACTGCGGGATTTCCAGAAGGAAGTAGGCACCTGTCACCTGTACACACATCAGGGCTAGCTGGCCTGGAAACGTCACAGGACTAGAAGTAAAAACAGTGCGTAAACTAGGGCTTTTGTGGGGAGAAATTTGTCACTGAGCACGTTCGCTAAACTCTTCGAGCCCCCACCACTGTCTCTACAGACCATTCTCCTCCTAAGGTTACTCTGAGTATTAAATGAGAAAAGTCGATCAGAATGCTAATGCTTGGCAGGTAATAAGTATGCAACCAATGCTAGGTATTAAGCCTTAGTATTAATTTGTCATTTATTAAACAAAATGCGTCAACATCTTCTGTGGGCAAAGCTTACAGATGAGTAAGGGATAGGGACTTGCTGTGAGCTGTTTATATTACAGTAGGAAAATGCTGGGAGCAGGAAGAGCTGTATTAAAAAGTAGACTTTTCATTCTGCCTGTCCACAGGGTGGAAGTGTCCTACCAGCGGATGGAGAACCCTAGCTGCCATGTGGTTGACGCCAGCCCCTCCAGAGAAGAGGTCCTGCAGACGGTTTTAAACCTAATCCAAAGTCATTGTAACTGATGGTAGTCACTCTGGCCTGGTGCCATATTTGAGTGGTTTAGAAGTTGTTTGAGACATCTAAGCCTGCCATTTGTTATGCAGTTTCCCTGGATATCTGTGGCACAAGCGTGTTGTGTAACAGAAACTTGGAGACCAGATGATTTAATTCTACCCCAGCCCCCATGCTCCCTTCTGACTGGTGGATCCAGGAAGCCTGAGTCGGATCATGTTCCAGTGAGAGACCAGTGTGGACATTTTCTTGGAACATATTTTTCACTCCGTAACTTCCAAATTTCTGGAAGGCTTGTCTTATCCAGAAAGTATCAGCTGCATTGAAGCAATTGATATGATCTTCCAAATCAGTGGAGAACTCTGGTCTCTCCTTCTGCCCAGACTCGTGGTGATGGCTTGGTAAACCCAGAGCTGGCTTCTTCCAATCTGGTTGCCCTTCGTAATGATCATCTCAGCCCTAAATCCTACAGCCAAGTGTTCCCAAAGGGCCTGTCTACATGTCCTGGCTCCCCAAGGACACTCCTGCAGAGACCTTTATGGGCAAGGGCCACTTCCAAGGAAAAAGCATCGATCTTGTGTCTGAGACTCAGAGCCTTTTAGATAGTGGTCTGGGTTGGCACTGCCGAGTGAGGTAGAAAGGCATTCAACCCAAGAGACCTAACTGCAAAGATACCAACCTTCTCTGAATTATATGTTGCTTATTTGACTTGCTTTCCTTTGCTATAAAATATGGCTCAGGATATAATGAACATTTTTCACTGAGCTGGATGCATTTCACTCAGCTGATCCAACAATTTATTTATATTGATCTTTACATCATATGTTTGCTCAAGGGGGGAGGCCCTGAGTCACTAATTATAATCGGTGCCAAAAAGCTAAGTGCAGTATTTATTGTGTATTTTCATTACGCAAATTTATCTTACTAAGCAATGGATCCTGGAATGGGATTTCTTAGTAAATTATCTTTCACTTGAATGTCTTATGATTACACATGGAATCAGCTTTGAGCTCTGTGTGAATAGAAAAACCTGGCTGAGCAAGGGGAAAAGTCTTAAGCTGTGTGGCCCTCGGCAGTTGGTTGAACCACGACGCGATTACCTACAATTCCTTCAGTTCTAAGAGAGATGAGTCTGTGTATTATTTTTAACCTGCCTACCATTTCTTAAGAAGATATTACCCCCAAATAATTAAATTTAAGGTCTTACCAGGTTTACCATATGGAATCTATTTTTAAAAGAACTATAGGTAATTTTTAACATAATGTATCTGTGTATCTAAACGGGTCACTGGTTTTAGTTGAAAATGTTTTTAAAGCTGACACATAGAATGACGGTTCTTTGCAATGTGGTGTCTAATTATTTTATTGGTTTTATTTACTTTAAATACTTTGGAAAGCTTATACCAGCAGCCTAGAAAAATAAACATGCAGTGACTTCTTCACATTCCTCGCACATGAATAAACCTGCTGTGGCTTTGTCGGCTATGTTGTTGTCCTGGGTGCAGGCTGATTTGTCTGAAAAGCGTCCCTCCAGCTCTCTTTTCAGGATTGTGGTATCTGAAAGGGAAGTTTGGTTTAGGAGATGGAAAGGTGTGAGCTGGAGGCTCTGTGGAATTTGTGGTCAAAGTGCTTACAGAAAAGGAGGGCGATGGTTTTGTTTTAAACATCTTACAAATTTTAAAGTGATTTTTATGATTCAATCTTTATACACCTGAGCTTTTCATACAGTGAGAGGTGTATGATTTGTGAGTATTAGATAAGACAATGTTTTATAATAGAAATAATTCTTTCAATAACTGGGCTCTTTCCACACTGACCTGTATATGGTCTGTGAGGATTAGATAAGACAATGCGTCCTACCCCCAAACTGATGACAAGGAATCATTTGCTTGGCTGTGCTCATGGGTCTTGTTTATGGCAGTCCTGTGGTAGACCATTAGTTGCCTAAATATGTGTCCTCTCTTTCTTCAAAAGTAATAGAGTGTTTCGCTCAGTCCATGGGTGTTGAGAGTTCAGACTACCTTCCCAGGGCTCCCTTGTGGTGGGATGTGACCCACGGCTAGGCTCTTGCCAACACTGCATATGTGAGCAGAAGGAACATTGGAAACATTAAGGGGGGATTGTCCCTTTACCCTTTAACTGTTCACAAAGGCTGTGCTTAGAGATGGCAGTGAGCCTTCTAAGGACCAGAAGAGAATGATGGCACCAGAGAGATGGAGAAAAACCAGAGGAATAGACACCAGTACCCTAATACGGAATCCACAGCCGCCTGGACCTCTACTTGGGCTTGTATGTGTGATGAGCACATTTCTATCTGTTCTAAGCCATTCTTGGTTTGGGTTTCTGACCCAGAACACCCAGTTAAGCCTATATGAATGTGCTTTTATATTTATTACACGCAGAACCTAGGGCATGCCCACTAACATATGGGACAAATACTATGTTCAGTGAAGAAAAATAATCAAGACTAATGAATCAGATGTAGCTGTTGACTGACTGGCTACTTAGAAATTACCAGGCTGGTCTTACGGAGTTTTCTTTCCATTTACTGGGCAGAGACACCTCAAGAGAAGGACCTGTGACACCATGTGAAAACCCTGAAAAGCCATCACACCCAGCCCAGTGACACCGTGTGAAAATCCTGAAAAGCCATCACACCCAGCATGGTGACACCGTGTGAAAACCCTGAAAAGCCATCACACCCAGCACGGTGACACCATGTGAAAACCCTAGAAAGCCATCACACCCAGCATGGTGACACCATGTGAAAACCCTGAAAAGCCATCACTCCCAGCATGGTGACACCATGTGAAAACCCTGAAAAGCCATCACACC